ACCTTGAGAAGTGTGCCTCCCCTCTCCTGGGAGCAGCCACCAGGTCTCCTCATTTGTCCGATCAGCCTCCTGCAGGTGGCTCAATGCCACAGCCATGTGTACACACCGCTGGGACCAGCTGAGGAGATCTCATCACATGGCCTAAGAAGAGAATGCTGTTCCAAGTCTCATAAAAATTCCCAAACCCTCATTTCAATATACACCTGAAGGCCAGCTGCCTGATCCCAATCATAGTCCAGAAAGATGAAACTTAGAAGTTCCCTATGATAAGCTCTGTCCAGCAGCAAATGGGCACCTCCCGAGAGTGAGCGCCCCAGCTCTGCCAACAGCACCCAGACATGCCCTCTGCCAGTTAAGTTTTCGTCAGTTCATCTTCGTTCCATCAGCAGCAGAGAGATGATGCTTCAGGACCCAAGGGAATATAGGATTCGGGTCATAATTTTCAGTTGGTTAGATTTGCAGCACGTCAGCATGTGGACTCACACCATCGTGCGTGAGTTTAGCCGTCTGACCTGACTTCTTCCAGGCCTGGAACCTGAGGTCAGTGCCACCTGTCTCGCGCATGCTGACTCCTAGATGAGGTCATTGCCTCCTTGGGAGCAGCAGGGGTGTTGCTTCTCACCTCCCCCAGTTCTTAGCCCGTGTGGCACACTCCTTTCGGCCCCCAGTGTGTGATTCAGCCTCATGGAGAGCACACTGAGAAACCAGGTAGTTATGTGTTTAAGCATGACAAAAAAAAAAATTCAAAACGATCCATCCAAAATAGTTCATTCAGAATGCCAGACTTCTCTCAAGCTGTCACTAATAGTGTATTTTGCATTTGTTTATCATGCCTTCAGGCCATTCCTGACCAGTGAATTTTAGCCTAGATATGTCTGCTTCCCTTACAACAGTGGAACACAGTTGGCATTAACATCAGTGAAATAAAAAGGGTGTGCTATTTCTAGTCACTTCATTCCACTTTAACTTCGTGATCATTACCTTTTTAAATAACATGTTTATGGGTCATTAGTTTTGTGTAAGATTCTCCACCACCCATCCCCCCCTCGCGTTTTCCCATGATCAGAGCCTTACATGTTAAAAAATAGAAAGTAAATAACAGTACTGACTTTGTGGTCAGTTTCATAAACATATAGCTTATAGCTTCACACTGGTACCTGGATATTTGCTTTACCAATACAATGAGTGAGTTAATGATTCCTGAAAATGGAAAGACAGTGTAACCTACTCAAGATGGAGCTAAAGCGATATTTAGAAAGCCCCTGCCTGCAGGTGTGATGGGCACTTGCTTTCTGTTTTGTGCATTTGGAGGTATTATGGCTGGCCTGAATGCCCCAGAGCTGGGTTCCTGGGGGACACCTGTGGCAGCTCGGAAGGCAGCCGTTGTAGCAAAGCAAGCTTAACCCAGAGCAGACGTACCGGTGCTCCGGGCATTCCCCCCAGACCTCAGCAGTTCCCTCTTCTCCCAAACTGGTCTGGATTTCTCAGTTGACAATTAACTATGCACCTTTGTGAGAATCCATCCATCATTGACTTACACTGTGACTTAATAATTAACTTTTAATTGTTTAATACCTCTTCTACAAAGCTGAATTGTAGGTTTCTTGAGCATAAGGCTGATTCTTATTCTTACCCATTCCTCACAGCACTAGGATGGGAATCCCAGCTCTTCAACCTTGGATGAATTTCCTCATCTCTTTCTCAGTTTCCTTGACTACAAAATGAAGGCAATCATGCCTGCCTGATTACAAGAATCAACTAGCACAGTGCTGGGCCCAGGGGGTGCCTGGTGAGTGATAACTTTGACTCACTAGACAGAGCCTGCACACAGAAGCTGAGCAGTTGAATATGACAAAGCAGGACTAAACTCATGTGGGAGAAGAGCTAGTTATGGACTCGAAATTTCATGGTGAGGGCACCATTTCTTCTGACCTTGGACTTGAAGGACAGCTTACAACCCTATTTTTATTCATGACTCTTTCATGACCATCTGATGATCATTTCAAGCTCATCATGTCTCCTAAGTCCAGAAAGATTGGTGATTTGATTTGGGATGCAGAGACTGCTCATTGGCATCCTCAGGCCAACTCACATATTGAAGCATCAGGTCTTCCCTGAGGGGAAGCTTTCTCTAGCTCCTTGAAGCCACATGGCAAGTGGTGAGACCCAGGACTGATCCAATGATCCCTGTGGGTGTCTCTGACTTAAATTTAAGAATATTCTTTAAAAGCAGCCACAGTGGGGAACAGGGGTAGGGTCTACTGAGACCAACAGCATCAAAACAAAACACAAATGGTGATAAGGATGAGAGTACGAGGAGGTCTGTCTAGAAAGCCTGAATATCACTGAGATAAGTTTCCCCCATTTCCCGTATCGTGAGCACATCTGCCAAAACTCAAAATGTGTTTTATCCACTCAGCAGCTGGCAGATTGCCTAGGAGCAGAGCAGAAGGTACTTATGGAGGGGCACCTCTGCCTGATTCTGCCATTCCCCCTCTTTGTGGTGGAGCTGTGTTACAGTAAAGAAATGGGTCATGTGACATTATCATTGCCTTCTTTAGTTACTTATAAATATACACTTCCGTGCCTTGCATCCCTTTTAAAAGTTCCTGAGGGAAATGTCCATAAGATAGATATAGTAAGCATTACATTTGTTGAATCTATTAGGATGTCAGCTTAGTGGGCCACAGAAGTGTAGGTTAGATGAGCTCCTTTTTAATACTAATATGAGCCCTGACCAGTTTGGCTCAGCAGTTAGAGCATCGGCCTGTGGTCCAGAGAGACCCGGGTTCAGTTCCCGCTAAGGGCATGTATTTCAGTTGCAGTTTGTCTCTGGCTCTGGTTGGGTCGTGCAGGTGGCAGCCACTCGATGTGTCCCTTTCACGTTGATGTTTCTCTCTCCCTCTCTTCCTTTCTCTCCCTCCCGCACTATCTGAATAACAAATGGAAAAATGTCCTCGGGTGAGGATAAAAAAAAAAAAAAATACCAGTACGAGGGGACTGAACAAATAGACTCTTGCCCGCTTGGATTGGTTGATAGGGTTGGTATGTTGGTTTACACAATGCCTTGCTCCAAAAGTAATTTGAGACAACACCTACCAAACAGTGTTGTCACCTTCTGTACACTGTAGTTGTATGTTAGAGGTACAGTTAGAATTTTGATATATTGAATGATATACAAGCTTTTCTTAGGAGTTTATCATGTTAGAGGCCCTAGTTAGGTGCAGAGTTACAATAAGAAATGAAACAATCCCTGATCTGAAGGACCTTGCTGTCTTATGGTAGAAACAAACCCAATTAAGTATATGCCAAGAGTGAGGTGGCAATGGCTCCCCTGTAGAACTCTAACATGGGTCTGACAGTCATGGTTTTTGTTGTATTTCTTTTTTTAACTAAATATCTTGAGACTCATTAGCTGAAAGAGAATTTTTTTATTTGGAATTTTATTTAAAGTACTTCGAAATTCTTAACAATTAAAATCCCATTCAGCTATGTATCTAAGAAATTTCCCTTACCAGAAAGAATGCAGCGATATAAAGTCAGTACTGCCCTGGAGAATCCACATTTCCTCACTCTGGCTGTGGGGGCTGAGAGGATGGTGTCATTCCTTCTCTCTAGGAAGCCTGGAGAGGGCTCCCAGAGGAGCTGATGTCCGAGCTGAATCGTGAATAGCAGATATCAGTCCTCATAAGAGTTTTGGCTCTGTGTGCTGTGGTGAATTTAATACATGTGGAAGTCAGACACAAAGCTTGCCAGTTCATCTTGCTCTGCACTTATTCCCATAGCAGATATTTTTAAATCACTTGTACGATGACTTCCAGCAAGGAGCCCATGATTGCTACTTTCACCTGATTTGTACACATGATTTGTAGACCTGCCTCCCCTCCCTATGGGGTCAGTGGTGCTTGCAAGAACCTAGAGGATTCATGGTTTTGCATAGAGGGTAAGGAAGCCTGTCCTAAATACCAGCAAGTTTAATCCACCTCCATCTGAAGAAGCAATTGGCCTTAGGCAATGTATTTCTAATTATCTAAGTTATTCTGTGTGTGTGTGTATGTGTGTGTGTGTGTGCGCGCGCACACGCGCGAGCCTGTGAGCCTGTGTGCGTGCATACACAAAAGATGTGCATAAATAGCACATTTTCAATCTGTGTAAAATGTAATGGATGAGCAGCCCGTGACAGTAGGCTTAGCCCCTGAAGATTTACCAGGAAAGGAGACAGCTGCATGGCAAAGCTGCTGCTTACAATTAGGGAAGGACTAGCCAGTGTCCTGTGCCACTCAGCAGCTTCAGCCATTCAAACTGCAGCCAGTTTGTTTAGCTCTGTAACCCCCGTTCTTTATGGGCTAGGAATTTGGGTGTTTTTTGTTTTTTGTTTTGAGAACACTGCTGGTTATCATGGTAAGATCAGGTATGACGTGATGACTGAAAAGTTCCAACTAGAAACTGATGAAGGAGCAAAATAGAAGTTGCTTTTAATGTCTCTTTCTAACTTGTAAGTGAGGGAAAACTATTTTGAAACCCTACAGGCTCTCCGTTTTGAACAGGGCCATATTGCCAGTTGTGCAGTTAACAAGAAAACTAGAATGCTGGCTTTGGCTCCAGGCAGCTGCAAGAAGTACCGCAGCACTCCTGATGTAGAACGGCTCTCAACAGGGCTGATTGGAAGGGAAATTAATAGGCGTCCCATTGTTACCGTGCATTTTTGCCAGGATATTTCATTAGTGTAAACACTGAACCCGTTGTCATCTTGTTTAGCCACTTGACCCTGGTGATTTTCAATTCTCCGAGCCCCTGATGAAATCGAGCAGTGGCATGCACGAGACAGGCACTAATTATTGGAAGCAGAATCATTGCTGACCCAGTACAGATTAACTGCTCCTTTGCAGTCTTTGTGCTGGGACATTAGCACTGTCTGGTTATCTTGCTTCAGTTGAGGGAGTCGGGACAAAAGCGGTGCTGATGGTAACTTCATGGCAATTTCCCTGTTTGTGTTACAGGTCACGGCCAGGGGCTTCGGGCCACTGTTACAGTTTGCCTACACCGCCAAGCTGTTACTCAGCAGAGAAAACATCCGCGAGGTCATCCGCTGTGCCGAGTTCCTGCGCATGCACAACCTGGAGGACTCCTGCTTCAGCTTCCTGCAGACCCAGCTCCTGAACAGCGAGGATGGCCTGTTCGTGTGCCGCAAGGACACGGCTTGCCCGCGCCCCCACGAGGACCACGGGAACTCCGCGGGAGAGGAGGAGGAGGAAGAGGAGGAGACGATGGATTCGGAGACGGCCAAGATGGCCAGCCCCAGGGACCAGACGCTTCCACACCCCATCAGCTTTGAGGCCACTGCCATCCCCGTAGCACAGAAGGAAGAAGCTTTGCAGCCGGAGTCCGACGGGCCTACGGACACCAAGGAGAGCTCCGAAAAGGACGCGTTAACACAGTACCCCCGATACAAGAAATACCAGCTTGCATGTACCAAGAATGTCTACAGCGCATCATCCCACAGTACCTCAGGTTTTGCAAGCACATTCAGTGAAGACAACGCCGGCAACAGCCTCAAGCCGGGGCTTACCGTGGGGCAGATTAAAAGTGAGCCGCCTAGTGAGGAGACCGAGGAAGAAAGCATCACGCTCTGCCTGTCCGGGGACGAGCCTGACGCCAAGGACAGAGCCGGGGATGTGGAGATGGACCGGAAGCAGCCCAGCCCCGCCCCCGCCCCCGCCCCGCCCTCCAGGGCCGCCTGCCTGGAGCGATCCAGGAGCGTGTCCTCTCCCTCCTGCCTAAGGTCTCTGTTCAGCATAACAAAAAGTGCGGAGCTGGCTGGCTTGCCCAGTACATCTCAGCAGCACTTTGCCAGGAGTTCCGCGTGCCCTTTCGACAAGGGCATCACTCAGGGTGACCTTAAAACTGACTACGCCCCTTTCACGGGGAATTATGGACAGGCCCACATGGGCCAGAAGGATGCGTCCAGCTTCACAATGGGGTCGCCCCTCAAGGGCCCTGGGGTGGAGGCTCTCTGTAAACAGGAAGGAGAGCTGGACCGGAGAAGTGTGATCTTCTCCTCAAGCGCTTGTGACCAAGTGAGCCCTTCGGTGCATTCGTATTCTGGGGTAAGCAGTTTGGACAAAGACCTCTCTGAGCCGGTGCCAAAGGGTCTATGGGTGGGGGCTGGCCAGTCCCTCCCCAGCTCACAGGCCTACTCCCACGGTGGGCTGATGGCTGACCACTTGCCAGGAAGGATGCGGCCCAACACTAGCTGCCCGGTGCCAATCAAGGTCTGCCCTCGCTCGCCCCCCTTGGAGACCAGGACCAGGACTTCCAGTTCGTGCTCCTCCTATTCCTACGCAGAGGACGGGAGCGGGGGCTCGCCCTGCAGCCTCCCTCTCTGTGAGTTCTCCTCCTCACCCTGTTCCCAGGGAGCCAGATTCCTTGCCACAGAACATCAGGAGCCAGGCCTGATGGGAGATGGAATGTACAACCAAGTCCGACCCCAAATTAAATGTGAGCAGTCTTACGGAACCAACTCCAGTGACGAATCCGGATCGTTCTCGGAAGCAGACAGTGAGTCGTGTCCTGTGCAGGACAGGGGCCAGGAGGTAGGGAACCCGCATAAATTCAAGCATGTCATCCACCCCCTTGGTCCTTTATCTGGACTCTCCCTGCCCCGCTCCCCACCACTCACAGATTGTTCTTATTTGCCAAGATTAAAGGTTATGGTAAAGGGACTGCCTCCCCCGTTCATGGATGCTTCAAGGTGATTCCAAATTAACCACTTTTGTCCTAGAAAGCACTTGACATTTTATCTAGGTGTAATACTCAGCTAGCAGAGGCAAGCTGCTTAGTGACAAAGGTAACTGATGCATGAGAACATGCTCAGGTGCTTCAGACCTCTCTCCTCTTCCACCTCTTTGAGAGGATGCTGTACTCGTCTTCATCCTTGCTCCTCACCCCTTCGGTGTGCAGGGAAATATAGAAACACTTTCAAAACTGATTGAAACTAGACAGATCCACAGTAAACAAGTGCTTTCCCAGCACCCATTTAGTTTTTCTTATCAACAGAAGACCCTGGGGCCATCCGGTGTCCACAGTGATGCAGATAGACAGCTCACCATCCATTCTGGTCTCAGAGTCGATGCAGGAGTCCCCTAGTCAGTCACACATAACTTTATAATATACCATTTCCCAAGCTCCCCACAAATGGTGAGAAGTTATTTTGGGGAGCAGTGGGGTTCAGTGCCAACTTAAGTACTTCTTAGATAAATATTCCCAAAGGCTCCATCCATGTCTCACCAACGCTGGGAGAGGGAGCCAGGACAACACCAGCCACATCGCCAACAAGACTCAGGTGGCTGAGGAGAGGAAGAACAGACACCCCATATGTTTCCCCTTCCCCCATAACTTCAGAGGCCCCTGGGAAGATATGAGGGAGTCTCTGTCACAATCCGGCACTGCCTAACCGATTGACAAGGAATCAGCCTGAGACAGACACCTGTGTCAGACCTGCCTTTGGAGCTGGAGTGAGTGAATCCAGTGAGAAGACCCTCGGAGCTGCTGATCCGAAAAACAAGGAAATGAAGTGTGGTCCTCGCTAGGCCAGTGCCCTCAGTACACTTTTGCGCTCCCTGGATATCAGCCTCTAGGAAAGTGGGGATGTTAACCCAACCAGGCAGCAGAAACGCCACATGGGGTGAGGTGGCTTTTCACAGGGCCACGTGCAGTTTATTCAGTCTCTGCAAGATTGGCAAGGAGCACAGGAGGCTTCAGTTCAGGCATGTTTTGAAAATAGATCCAACGCTCTCTGTGCCAACTGCAGAAATGCCCTGTGGTCACTTCCTTGTTTTGCTAATGAGCTTGGTCCCTCTCTTCTTTTTGCCTGACAAAAATGGAGAAAGACAGGATTTAAATTAGTTAAAAGAAATTGTCAAGGAAATTTGAATGGGAACTATTTCTATTCAGATAACACCACATCCCTTCAGGTTTGGAATGAGGCTGCACCAGGCCAGAGGCACGCTGTCTCTAGCGGGAGAGGACTGAAGTTTTGTGAAGACAGCAGAAGGTGGTGCCCTCTTTCCTCACTCATGTCTTCCCCTCCTACCACAGCATTTGTGAGGTTGTCCTTTTTTTCCCCCTGAAACTTTCCATAAGCATCCCCAGTACAGACACCTAGTCACTGGGTCTGGTTCATCCGCATAACAATGTATCTTGCTAAGGACTGGTGTCACGAGAAAAAAAAAGACCTCCAAATCTTTGTGTTTTGGTCTCTCCCTCAAGAGAGGCCCTGCCATTATGCAAAAGGGGTTGTGTTTTTACGACACTTGCGCATGCTCAAGGAACGGTCAGTTTCAGATAAATCTCCTTTGTCTCTCTACTATCCCAAAAGAGAGCTTAAAGTCACTTCTTGGAACGAAATGCCACCAACAAGAGCCTGTGGTTTTCCTGTGTTCGGGCCATATCATTTGTCTACCTTAGAACTTTTCAGTTCTACAAGAATCAGTTTAGAGAACTCATTTAGCCTGTAACAATAGTCATGAACAGGACTAGTCTCCCCTTGAAAAATACCACTACCTTAGAAAATACTTTTATTTTTACTTTTTTTTTTCATTGTGTTTTGTGCATATCTAAATAGTGAAAGAAGTGACATTGACCACAAAGTTCTGTGCCTTTTCAGAAATAACACTTCGCCCCTCCTGGTAGTACATTTTGGACAGGATCGGTATAGGAAACCTAAGGTTTTTCCCAGTTTGACATTTTAGTTTTTCTGGAGTAGAGGAGATTCGGTTTTCCAAAAACTATTGCAGGGATTCATTGTCATTGCTCATCTTTGAGTTTATAACTTACTTGTAAGAGTTACTTTGGCCCTGGCCAGTTTGGCTCAGCGGTTGGAGTGTCGGCCTGCGGTCCTGAGAGACCCAGGTTCGGTTCCCGCTAAGGGCACGTACTTCGGTTGCAGTTTGTCCCCGGCCCTGGTTGGTTGTGCGGGTGGCAGCCACTCGATGTGTCCCTTCACGTCGATGTTTCTCTCTCTCTCTCCCTTCCTCTCTCTCCCTCCCATCCTATCTGTACAAAAAATGGAAAAATATCCTCGGGTGAGGATAAAAAAATAAAATAAAATAAAAGAGTTACTTTGAGCCTGGTGGAAGTGTGGTACCCAGTAAGAATGTTGAAGGCAAATCCTTTACAACGTGAATCGTAACTCATTTTCCTGAACGGATCCAAAAGAATCCAACACCTCCTGGGCTGATTCTGCCCCAGTCTGCTCTTGTATGAGGTCCAGGTAACTTCTCTTCCAAGTGAACCCCAAGGAGAGACCAGAGTCAGAAACCGGAAAGAGTTCTCACCTCCAGCCAGCTACCTGTCCAGAGCTTCAGATCAACCACTGTGAGGAGACAAAATGTTAGATCAAAAGAAGTGTTAGCCTACCTTATGTTCTGTAAAATGTTCTAGTTCTACCCTGTCAACTCTTCCATCTCATCCTTGTTGACCTCTCCCGTCCTTTTTAACTATTCCCTAGCTTTGAAGAAAGCTTAAGTTAGCACAGTATTGTCCTTTATCAACAATCAGCTTTTTAAGATTACTTTCTTTGTTTAAATAATCAAAAAGCATACCCAGCTCCTGACATACCAAATTAAACAGGCTTTCTTTGTACCCACGACAACATGCAAACACATATTCACATCTCTAGAGGTTTGGGTTTTCCCTTAATGGCATTTACTGTATAATTACTTAGCAGCTTGCTTTTCCACATAGATGTCTTCTGCATGCATATCTCCACTGCCTGCGTACATGCATCACATAGGGCTTCTTTGGTATCCATGGGTCGCATAAACCCCAATTCATTCAGCTCTCTCTCAACAGCCATCCAGTTGTTTCCAGTTTTTTCCCTCTTATAAACATTACTGCAATAAACATTTTTGTGAATATATTTAGTAGTGGTGATTTTATTTTTATGGGTTAGAGTTCCTTAAGTGGATCAGAGGTTATGCTCATTTATTAACTACTTAACTACTCTCCCAAAAGGCTGTAGCAATTCACAAATCCTTCAGCAACTTCACCCTGTCCTTGCCGGTAGTAGTTGTTACCAGTCCTTTTAATTTTTGCCAATCTCATGGGCAAAAAATAATGACTACTACTGAGGTTGACAACTTTGTCCATTTTTTTTGTGTTTGCCTTTAAATCAATTTACAGAATCCTTAATCCTTAACACAAGAATATTTCTGATAGGTGTTTTCTATATTTTTTTCTAGTCTATTTTTTTATGGTATCTTTTTTATATAAAAATGTTTGTTTTGTGTAATTGTTATCCATTCTTTTCTTTATGACTCTGGGTTTGCTATTTACTTAAAAAGTCAGTTTGGAAATGTTTTTCTTCCAACGATGAAAAAATTAATAGGTCATATGAAGTAACAAAAGTAACAGGAGGCATAAGGTCTTAGTTTGATTCAGTATGGGAGGCAAAGTTGGGGAGAAGGAGTGTAGGGGGAAGTTTCATTTCTGTGTATTTCTGTAATGTTTTAATTTTATTATGTATACCTCACACAGGTTTATTTTCTAAATTGGGATATAACATACATAACATAAAATTCACCCTGTTAAAGTGAACAAGTCAAGGTTTTGTTTTTTGTTTTTTTTTATCCTCACCTGAGGAAAATAGAGAGAGAGAAACACATCAAGTGGCTGCCACCCACACGACCAACCAAGGCCGGGGACAAACTGCAACCGAGGTACGTGCCCCTAGCGGGAACTGAACCCGGGTCTCTCCGGACCGCAGGCCAATGCTCTAACCGCTGAGCCAAACCGGCCACGGCAACAAGTCAAGGGTTTTTAATGATGTACAAAATCCTGTGAGCATCACCCCCTGTCCAAGACATTTGTATCACCTGAAAGAAGCACATACCCATTGGCAGTCACCTCCCTCTGCCCTCCCTCACCTCCCGAAAACCACTCATCTACTCTCTGTCTCTCTAGATTTGCCTTTTCTAGACGTTCTACAGCAATGAAATCTTACACTTGTGTGTCTGGCTTCTTTCACTGAACAGACTGTTTTCAAGGTCTATTCTTGCCATTGATGTACCCACTCATGTATCGGTGTTTCCTTTCTTTTTATTGCTGAATAATAGTCCACTATGTGGATATACCACACTTCAGTGATCCATTCATCAGTTTGGGGACCTTTGGTTTGTTTACACTTTTTTGCTGTTATCAGTAATGCTGCTGCGAGCACTTGTGTACAAGTCTTCTGTAGACATGTTTTCAGTTCCCTTCGTTGTACACCTTGGAGGGGAATTGCTGAATCATATGATAGCTCTGTTTAACCTTTTCAGGAATTATCACTGTTTTCCAGGGTTGCTGTACCATTTTACAGTCCCACCAGCAGTGTATGAGGGATCAGCTGCTCCACATTTTTGCCAGCATTTGCTATTGTTCACCTTTGTTGTGGTTGTTGTTAATCTTCATCCAACGATATTTTTCCATTGTTTTTTCAGATAGAGTGGAAGGGGGGGGGGGGGGAGAGAGAGAGAGAGATACATAGATGTGAGAGAGACACATCGATTGGTTGTCTCCCTCACAACCCTGACCAGGGCCTGGGATTCTACCT